CAAAAACGAATAAATGAAAATCATTACTCCTACTAAAAAAGGATTCTTTAAAAATCAGCATAAGCGACATCAAAAAAACCATCCCTACCACATTTCATGTTGCACAAGAAACGTGATCGTACTGGTATAGTTGTCAAAATAAAATCTACTGTGCTGTTATGCCTTATTTTTTTTTTAAAAAAATAAAAAAAAATAATTTTGTCAAAATATTTACTTAATAAGATAGAGATTGAATCGATGAATTTAAAATTAATATAATATTAAAAAATTATTTTCACTCAAGTACTATTAAACAAAGCATTCATCGACTCAACCTTTAAAATAAATAAATACTCTTCGTTTTGTGGTTGTCATGGATGGTATAACAATCACACTGCCACCTTTTTTTTCACGGTTTTTTTTGGATTGAAATAAGCGCAATTTTACATTTTTCCATTCATATATCACATGATGCTGGAAATGAGGACGAAGTTTCCTCAAATTTTTATCAATTTTTGTAACCTTTTTATGCATTTGTTTTTTCCATGTTAAAAAAGAGCTTGGGTCTTATATGTACTTCAGTTATTTCTTCAATCAATTTTGCAGGGTCATTGGTAAGCTGCTTGATGTCACATTGTTCTTCCAAAATATCTTCTTCTGAATTACTTTCTTCTGGATCATTTTCTTCTAGATTATTTTTTTCTAGATTATTTTCTTCTAGATTATTTTCTTTTGGGATATTTTCTTCTGTATTGTCTGGAGGAACATTTTCCAAAGGAACTTTTTCTTTTCCCATCAAAAATTGTGAGAATCCACGAACATTTTCATATTCAGACTTGTTCTCTCTGAATTCTTCAAAAGCATTTGTTAAAAGTTCGTCAAATACATTTACACATTCTTCTTTTCCAGCACTTGGCTTAAATATATAAAATCTGTCAGTAAATTAAAAAAAAATTAAAAATTAAATTTAAAACTGATTAATTCCATTCACGAATATGACAATATCTAATTATTTGAACGAACTTGTTATCATTCTTATGTATTGCCTCAATCCACTAAATATCAAAATAATCAGAATAATTTGGAACTTAATTTTTTTTAACATAATTTAGATACTTACCTCACTCTTCAATATAAAATTTCGTGCAGTTACTTTTTGCCCATATTCTCCGTAAACAAATTCGTTATCTAATATAATCATGGTTTTTCCAGAAAGGTCTTTCATTAATGTAGTGGGCTCGTTCGAGTAAAGTGTTTGTATATCTCTTATGAAACTAAAATGACCCATTTGTGAAATATCCCAAATGAAAAATCGAAGACCAAGAATTTCTTTAAACAACTTGACCCATTCCAAATATTCATCGCGTGTTCTAATTGTTGTCAATATTTTTTGAAAATATTGTTTGAAAATATAGGTTATTATTTGAAAAAAAATCAAAAATTACTCATTGTAAATACAGTAAATACCAGTGCATATAAAATTCCATTGTTACTTACGTTTTATGATTTGTAACAAGTAAAACATCAGGATAAAATCCTTGAGGAAACCCACGATAGATAATTGATACTCTGACACCAAAAGACAAAATATGAACAATTTTTGGTATGGAGGGTTCGGCAATCTGATATTAAATATATGCTATCTAAGTTTATATTATTGCATGTAAATGTAACTCACGAAATTTTATCATCTTACTTTTCCAAGTTCTAAATAAAGCCAAAAGTCTGCAAATTCAAATACCTCTGCTTCGGTTAATGTTAAAGCAGCCTCTAACTTTAATGTTTCACCAGCTTTTAGCAAAGGAATCTCGAAAATATATTCATTTTCCATATTTTGTACTGGAGGAATTGTTGAAACACCTTTCTGATCTGATTTCAACCCAAATTTTAAGGCAGAAGGTGAAACTTCACCACCAACTTTACTCAATCTAACACGGATAAGACGTTCATTTTTTGCTTGAACGCCAAAATCCACTTTAGATGTATTTTTCACTTCCCAAATAACTTTAACCGCATGATCAACAACCTGAATTTCATTAAATTTTTGTAAGAGAAACCACGTTTTTTAAACTAAATAAAATACAAAACCGGATTAATAATACCATAGAATTCATGTGTAAAACTCGAGTGAGTTCAATAGGAAATTGAATATTTATGGAATGGCCATTGAAATCAAAGGCAGAAAATATCCTTTCAATTCCAGTCATTGTTGCTGTCAAGTGTAATAAGTCAGTGACTCGAAGAGGAGGACCTAATATAAGAAAATTATTAAAGGTTGGTAAATATAAAATTAAGTAGAGTAATGAAATTAAGTAATTATTTTATTATAAACCTGGCTTATCTACTACATATCCTCCAAGAAGAAATGAAAAAGGTTGATTACAGTTAATTTCTTTAATGGTAAGTTTATCAATCATTTGTGGCAATAAGATATGCTCCTTTAGCTTTTGGTTGTAAATCCATATTGTATTATTTATATTAACGCGGATATCCCCTAAAAATTGGAAATATAATTAAGATGAATTTGTAATATATTAATTTATTGATGATTTTAAAAAAGGATAGATACGTCTTGGTGTGGGAGTATTAGATTTATTGTAAACAATTATAGAATCTATAATAATTTTAGCATCAGGTTCATAAGCTCCTGTAGTAGAGTGAGTAATAACCTCATGCAAACGTATGTCATAAATTTCGTTGTATTCTGTAACATCGTTTGTAACGCTGGAAGCGAAATATGAGATTAGAGTTAAACCCTCTTGTGGTAACAATAATTTTTTTTTTAATACGAAGAAAATTTCAATAAAATCGAAATTATCACCTGTTTTTAATCAAAAATCGGAGGATTCCATTATTTCCCGGCATACCATTATCCCATTACTACCAGAAGGGCCCTGAGAGCCACCTAATATAAATAAAGTGAATTAAATATTACATAAAAATGCGTTGTAATTTAATAATCATTATATGTAAAGTCATATTCTATACCTGGATTAGAATAATAGCTAATTATTTGATCTCTGCTTCCGTCAGTTTCTGACCATGAATAACTATAGCCGCCACGACCACCTTGCCCTCCTATACCTGAATACAATGAATATATTATGACTATAATAAGTAATATGTTAAACTAAGAATGGTAACTGTATAAACAGTACCTGGTAGTCCATGGCAACCAGCATTTCCTATATTAAGGTAGTTAGTAATATTATTGCAAATTGTTTTTATCTATATTAAATATATTAAAAGATAATATTACCCCCCCTTCCTCCATATGCATCTAAACTGTAAGAAATATTTGGAGTCCATGCAGCCACAAATAACATTAGTAATCCAGAGTCTGTATCATTCATATGCAAGGTAATCGTGCCACCTTTTCCACCATTTGCACCACTATAAATGTATACATAATCAGAAATATTGATAGTAAGTATTAACAAAGCTTTGTAAATTAGAATTAGTGCTTGCCTAGTTCCTGCGCCTGTTGGGTTTGTTTTTTTTGTTGAAAGCATCAAGAAATGTTGCATGTTAATAAGGCAGTCATTTTTTAAACAGTATTAAGTCAAAAATTTTACCTGCATTGCCATCATTACCGCCTCTTCCTCCATCAGTCCCAGGAGTCGATCTTTATTACCAAAAGAAATTAGTTAATAACTCTAATTGTTACAGTAAATTCTTATAAGGTAATGTCATGATAAATAAAATATTTACCGAGTGGCATCCATTCCTGAATAACCCTCGGCACCATTACCTAAAATAAAAGTTTTTAAGTTCATTATACACGTCTACGTATAACTAAATTATAAAATATTGATAAAATACTAACCACCATTGCCTCCATGCCCTCCATCACCTCGTGCTAAAAGTATGCGACAAAATTGCAAAGTCATTAATTAAATAATTATTAAATTTTAATCAGAATATAAAGACTTATATTTATTTTTACCTCTTAATATAAATAAACTAACTTTTTCGCATGAGAAAGTGTTTTGATAGTCATGAACAACATATCCTGGTGTACGATATTGTCCCAAAAATTCAATTGAGGCACCATCAATACTATCTCTATAATTAAGATATAAAATAAAATAAAAATTTCAAACTAACAACTAAAAATATTATTGCGAAATAATTAACAAACATTTCAGTTATTTTCAATTCAATATCTAATTTTATTGTAAATATAAATTTGGTTAAGTTTTTTTTCTTATTCGTAAAATTAAATAATCACATCTTTTCATTAATTAGTAAAATAATTTATCTGACCTCCTGCATCTGTACCCATGGTCGGATTTGTAGCATCACTTCCATGGTTACCATTTTCTAGTCCGAAACTATATATTGCTGCACTACTTCCATTTAGTCCGTTAGCTCCACGAGGACCAGATACATCAATGACGGTAGTCATTTCAACTAGAGTGTAACGTTATAAGGTCTTTTGAATCAATTTATAAGTTTAAAATCAAAAATTTAGAAAATCATAACATAATATTACAGAGAGTATCTATGAAACTGAAAATATTACGTGTATGTCTGAATTTTAGAAATAAGTGAAAACCATTTCTTGGCGTAGGTGATAAAATGTAACGTTTGAGGAATCTAATCAGTTTCACATGCTTTATCAATAAACTTTATGAATTATTGCTAATGATACGTACTGTTTTGATAATAAATTATTAGTAAATTTTATAATATAAAATTATTACTATTATTAATGGAAATCTATTTGACAGTTTCACAACAAAATCGGACATTGTTAAATGTAGATGATGCGTACCAAGTTACCAAAAACTCAAATTTTTGTTGCACAAATAAATTTATTGCACACAGCAATTGAAATACTGTACCGTTATTTATCAATTTAGATTACCTTATATAGAAATTCTTGTCATTGGTTCAAATATTAGCATTAGTACATACGTATCAATTTGTAAGTACTTTACCTACAAATATACAATAATGGGCATCACCAAACAGCATATGAGTGATACAAATTCTGATAAAAGAAATTCTCTGTTATTTATCATAAGCCTAATATGATATAGTATGATAATTTTTAATCGTAAATGTAATTAACGCACAAAAAATGCGCGGCAGATCCTCGATTTTGATTGGCTAACGACCGAGGATCACATAATTGTTTACTAATTTCCGGCCGAAATTGATTTTTAATTTTTTCATTATAAAAATAGAAATTTTTAAGAAATAAGCCCGCATTATGGTAAAATCGATCCAGGAACTAATGGGCGGCTGCGATTTCATTGCCTAATTTTTTGATCGTCGCTCTTAGCCAATCAAAATCGAGGACTGCTGCGCATTTTTTTGTGCGGTACCTAGGTTCAATGTAAAAGTAGGTCGTATAACAGATGTGATGAGTCAAGTAAGTTTTGTAACTGACCTTTACAATATCTCATGATAGAAATTACAATAATTCTAATACAAATTAACTCAACATACTGTGACTATCAAATAGCAAGTGAATGTTTTATAGTAACTTATAATAAAATTATAATAATTTTTAATACAACTAATTACATGCTATGTTAACCAGAATAGCAAATAAGTTCTTTAATAATATTTTTTATAGTAACTTACGATAAAAAATCATAATAATTCTAATATAAACTAACTTAACTGCATATTATAAATACTAGAATAGGATGTTTTGTAATATGAATTTTATAAAGTAACTGATAATAGAAATCACAATATTTTATCGCTCTTTTCGATATAGTTGGATTGACAATATGCACAATTTTTTTTTTGAATCCCGAGAGTGATAACTACTTTATGTTCGTCGAATTCATTGATTAAATAAGGGAAATATAAGAATTCTAAAATGAGTCCTACAAAATGCGTATACTAAAGCATATAATTACTTTAATAAAAGAACTATCATATAATGTTATAAATAACATAATTTAAAATCAAATAAATTTAAACCCAATTTATAATAAGGTTTATACTTATCCGCTAATCAGCAGAAACATTTGTCAAATTATTTGTTAGGCGCATATTTCCAATTATTTTATAAATAAATATAATAAAGCTTATACTTTAAAGTTTATACTTAAAGCTAATACTTACATTAATAACAATTTGGAAGCAATTATAGTAAATATATGCTTACCATCTAATAATTCAATAAAAGGCATTATAAATGAAAAGCAATTAATTTCAAATTTTAATGTTTATAAATATAAATTATTAAAAAACAATAAATCAAATTAATTACCTTTTCTGTAAGTGAACAGCCGCGGCAGTTGTCAAGCAAGCATTTAAAATAGCGACAATAAGAAATAAAATGAAGTAATTTAATTTCATTATGGCAATTAATATTTTAATGAAATGACAATTTAACACCTTTTCACCCTTATTGATCTCAAATTGTATTTTGAAAAAAATACTTTGTGAAACGAATGCCCAATCGGATAATTTTCAGGGAAACTTTAAGACTATCGCACATAATAAATATTATAATAATCCCTATCATCTCCAAGTTTTTTTTAATGAAATATCAAAGTGAATAATTTTATGGAGAGTTTTAAGCCACGATTATAGGTCATTCTATTAAGATAAAACTTGGCAATTTTTATTTTTTAGGATTATCGCGCATGTTAAATATTAGGATGTAACCAATGTTTAAAATTAGCATGCGGAATCTGCGGAGCAAAGACTAAAATTCATTCATTCTACATATATCATATCGGCGGATTTGCGGAATTGGTCCTGAATTGATCTTAAATTGTATTTTCAAAGTTATCCGCAAAATGAAACCAAAATTTTGCAAACAAATATACGTACATTTAAGTGGTAAATAAATTCAATTACAGTATTATTGTATCTATTTTACCCCTCAAACTATATGTATGTACGTATATTTGTTTGCTACAAAATTTTGCGGATAACTTTGAAGATACAATTTAGGATCAATTCAGGACGGATATGTACAGTAAAATCCCTATAAGTGCACTCTTTAAACAAGAAAAGGTGCATTTATGCAGAGCTCCAAACTATTAAGCATTTATCCGGATGATTATCACCGGTTTGTATCCGTTTAGTAATGATATCCAAATATTTATCCGAATAACTGCGATTTGAATTATCCGGATTAAAGATACGGATAACCAGAAACAGGGCTAGCTACATGACCAATCAGGCTCATTTGAGTATGATTTAAGTCATTAGACAACAGACAAATTACTATATAATTTAAACAAGAAAGAGCTGGGAGTTTAAATTATTTATAAATATCAAGATAGGTGTAACTTACGTCAATATATATCAGTAGAGCTCCAATCCATTATCCATTTATCAATGGATATCCGGATATCAAATTGATAAATGGATAAATGGATGGATGCCCGGATATCCGATAAATTACCCGGATTATGCAAGGAGTGCATATTAATTTAACTGTTGATCTAGCGGGTTGATGTAAAAGGCACTACATAATATAACGGTTAGGGTCTGACGGTTAAGATATAACTGTTGATCTAACGTCTGATCGAACAGTTGATGTAAAAGGTATTACATAATATGACGGTTAAGTTCTGACAGTTAATATCTAACAATTGATCTAACGGTTGATCTAACGGTCGATCTAATCGCTGATCTAATGGTTGATGCAAAAAGTATCATAATATATTGGTTAAGTTCTAACGGCTGATCTAACAGTTGATGTAAAGGTATTACATATAATGATTAAGATCTAACCATATCGACGGATTTTCTGAATTGATCCTAAGTTGTATCCTTAAAGTTATTCGCAAAATGAACCCCAAATTTTGTAGCAAACAAATATACGTCCATATAAAGATAATTTAAGATACAATAACACTGTTATTGTATCTATTTACCCCTTAAATTATTTGCTACAAAATTTTGATAATTTTGTGGATAATTTTGAGGATATAATTTAGGATCAATTCAGGACCAATTCTGCAAATCCGCCGATATGCAGCTAAGATTTAATGGTAGATTTAACAGTTGATATAAAGATATTATATAATATAATGGTTTGGATCCAACAGTTAATCTAATGGTTAATGTAAAAGGTACTATATAATATAACAGTTAATATCTAATGGTTAAGATCTAATGATTGATCTAATAGTTGATATAAAGGATATTATATAATATAATGGTTAAGATCTAATAGTTAAGATCTAACAGTTGATCTAATAGTTAATGTAAAAAGTATTACAAGCTTTGGCCACCAATTAAAGCAATTAAATTCAAACATTACAGCAATCAATTTTAGATATCATAGCAATCAATTTCAAACATTACATCATAGCAATCATAGCACTCAAATTTGGATATTAAAGCAATCAAATTCAAATATCATAGTAATCAAATTCAGATAGTGATATCTTGCAATCTAGTAATCCAAATTATGTGATGTCAGTTCCATCTAACTCATCTTATTAAGATAAGTTAAATGGTACCAAAATTATGTGATTTGGATCACTAAATTATGAGATATTATGTCTGAATTTGATTGCTATAATGTTTAAATTTGATAATTATATTGTCTAAATTTGATTATTATAATATTCAAATTTGATTGCTTTGATATCTAAATTTGATTGCCCTAATATCTAAAATTGATGGCTTTTATGTTCAAATTTAATTATTATTATGTCTGAATTTGATTATTAATTTGTTTGAAATTGGTAGCTATAACCTGTATAATTAGTAGATATGCAACATTGTTGTGCCAAACCAGGAATGAATATAAGCTTAGTGTTAGACAACTCTAATATAAAAGTTATATATTGTTTTAAATTTAGATAAAATAAATATCTGGTATACAACTAAATATAGTATAACAATATTAATATAAAAAGTATAATTTAAACAAACAAGAAATTTTATAAGATTTTTAAATGTATATAAGATAGGTTCTTTTATATCAAGAAAATCCTGAGCTAAAGATCACTGTAGATCCTTTCTGGCATAATTTTGGAGCCCAAATATTCACCAAACAGAATTAATTAAATTAAAAATTCTTTTGAAAATTTTGATTTCTTTAAACTTCTAGCAAAGATTTCTCAATAACTATTTAATTAAATTTAGTAAACTTTTTATTTTGATTATATATAATTATAAAATTAAAATAAAAATTTATTAAATTTAGTTTAGTAGTTATTAAGAAAAGCTAAATAATTATTATTTACATATATAGATTTTTTACAATATTGAATATTGAAAAGTTGGTACAGAGTATTACAAAATGAGATCTAATAATATATTCTACAATGTATATTCTTAATTAAATAATTTGTAAACTTAACTAAATAATTATTAAACTTAACTAAATAATTATTTAATATATTTAACATTGAATGATTATTTTAATCTAATAGAATATATCTAAAAAAATATTTATTGTAGTTTTATTTT